CTTCCCCTCCGGGGTCACTGTTGATGGGGGAGTGGTTGGGATGGGAAAGGGAGATCTTAGGAACCAAGCCTCTGTGTCAGGGTTGTTCCTGTCTTCCCCACAATAGTGAAACTAAACATATCACAGCTTGTCCAGCCTCTGGCACATAAATGTATCCACATTATATCTTGGGGTTCAGATAGATTGAGGCAGACACCAGCAGGATAGAGACTAGACCTACCACAGACCCCCTTCTCTCTTCTTGCCACCTTTCCCAGGAGTCCATGCAAGCCTTGGCTCTGGCAGTACCCTGGTTTGTTGAGATACAGGTACATCCTAAAAGAGAACTGGATGTGACCCACAGGAGACTCTTCTGAGCCACTGGAACCTGGAGCTGATGGAGCAAGTGTCATAGATTGCCTATCTGATGAGCAGTGGGTGACATCTGCCTGGCGGTGATGGTGCATGCCCCAAGGAGGCAGCTGTCAGCTGCGTCTTTCTCCATCCTGGTCTTAGGCACCTACTGTGTTTCTGCATACCCTCCTCCTCCTTCTTCCTGAGTGGCAGGGCTAACTGGCCTGAGGCTGAGGCTGCTCTCACTGAGAGGCCACAGGAAGTGAGGGGCTCCCCCAGTCCCACTCTCTATCAGCTTTTGGAACAAGCAAGTTTTGTGATGCAGAAAAATCAGCATTCTTTTACTAGAAGCCAAAGTCAGAATTGGATTTGGCATTTCTCAGATTATATGTAACACTGCAGATAATCATTGATTTTATGTGTCCTGTGGTTTACTAGTTGAGTCCTATCCTTTGGCAGTAAGGCCCAATTTGCATTCACATTGGTATTAAAATGTATGCGGGTCAGACATTTTGCTGGGCACTTAATGCAATGATTTTGCCAAACCACTGTGAAGCAGATACTACTGTTGCCCATTTCACTGAGTGAACTGAGACATGTGAGCGTTAAGTGTCTGCCCTGGGTCACACAGCAAGGATGAGTGACTCCTACTCCTATGTTCCTAGTGATGGCTCTACTTTCCCAACTTGCTCTCTGGTTCTCACCAAAGTTTCTTTCATTCACTGTTTCATATAATCTCATTTGTGGGAGCCAGGCTGAGACAGAGGGCTCATGCCAGGAACTTGGGTCCAGATCAGAAATCAGAGCAGAACTCAATCATGGAAAAATGGACAGAAAAGCCAGGGGGATAAGAGTAAAAGCAGTTAGGGCCAGGGATTTAGCTCAGTGGTTCCGGCGCCTGCCTTGCAAGCACAAGGGCCTGAGTTCGATCCCTGGTATCAAAAAAAGGGGGGAAAAAAAAAAAGAGTAAAAGTAGTTCTATGAGTCAGCTCTATTCTTCACTAAAATGTGATGCACTGCTCCAAAGAATAATTTTGTAATGATAAAAATAACATTTTCTGAGTACTAAAAATGAAGATAATAGTAAGCACAGAAGACAGAAGAAATCACTCATGATTACTTAAACTTTTTCCTTATTTGGAATGAGAGAACAATATAAATTTGTTCCACATTATCAAAGCAGAAATTTAAAAACATTAAGAGTTACTGTCAAACACTTGAGGATTTTCTAAAGAAAAATGATCTGGTTTCTTTAATAGATAAAAAGTATCTCCCCCTCCACCCTATGAGAGGGTAACATTCTAGAATAACAAAGATTATAAGATATATCAAATACATGCAAAATGTAGACCTTCTTTGGATTCTGATTAGAAAAACCAACTGTACAATGGATAGATGGGGTAATGTGAAAATTTTGATCACAGGGTGTACACCATGTGTTTCTTGATATGAAGGAATTACTGCAGTTTTATAGTGTGTTAATGATATCATTGATACACATATTACAATTGGCAGAGCAAAATGCAACTTTATAATTTTATTTAGTTATTTATTTATTTGGTACCAGGGATTGAATTCGGGTCCTTGTGCTTTCGAGGCAGGCTCCAGAATCACTGAGCTAAATCCTGGCCCATATAATTTTATTTTTTACTAGAGTATGTTTTATTACTGTGTATATAATAGTTTTATTTCTTTTGGGGAATTAGTATATATTTATTATATATGTCTGCATTTATATTTACACATGTGTGTATATATAATTTCTTGATCATATTAGATTTTTTTTTTTTTTTTTTTTGGTACTGGGGATCGAACTCGGGTCCTTGCACTTGCAAGGCAGGCCACCTAACTGCTGGGCTAAATCCCCGGCCATCATATTAGATTCTTTTACCTCCGCTCCCTACTCATCTTCCTTCCTTTGATCTCCTTCCCTTTATTCAAAAGGTCCAATTCTCAGTTTTCTACCATCTTTCCTTTTACTCTTTAATTTATAACCTTTCCTTTAGAGAAGAGCACTCTTTCAAACTTCCTCAGGCTAGGGCATAAATGCCATCCCCTCCTCTCCTCAGCCCAGGTGAATGGCCAGAACATACAGGCGCTGGCAGCAGCAGGTCAAAATGTTATTCCCTTCCTGCAAAGAAGAGGACTGGGAGGGATGAAGCAAACTTGGAGCTGTCTCTTAACTCTTTGTATTCCCTCTTTTCTGTCTTCCTTACTATGAAACACCCTTCCCCATCTGGATGTAGTGAGATGGTGATCTGTGGAGGTCTGAGCCCTCTCCATTTCCTCCAAGGTAGCTTTGAATAAAACCTTGTATTCCTTTCTCTAAAAATGGGCTCCCACGGTTCATCTGGGAGACATGAGCAAAAGACCTGATCTATGGCCTGAGCAGTGGGTAACAGTGTCTTCATGTTATGTACTGAATGACCCACAGGTAAAATGAGGCAATGTCTGATTCACTTTAAAATTCTCTGGGAGCTAAGAGGGGGCTTTTGTTGAAACGAGATGGGCCCTGAGTTGATACTTGTTGGAACTGGTTAACAGGTACATGGAGACTCATAGTCATTTGTCCACTTTTGTGTACATTTGAAATTTTCCACTGAAACAAAAGAGCAGGGCAAGGGGCAAGTTAGTGGTCACCACTCCTGAAGTCACACTGCTGATCCCAAACACTGGTTAGAGGTAGGTGACAGCACTGAATTTTCCCCATCAGGACTGCTTGCTTGGAAATTCTGCAAGTACAGATCTTCTAGCTGCAGATAAGTTGGGCTAGGAAGAGAAATGGATACGTCCTTGCAGGCTAGATCTTTTCCAGTACGTGCTGGGACTGGAGATAAGAAAGCATTTGGGAATCATGAGAAAGCCAGTTTGGCAATCCTGTCTCTTTACATCTCCTATGAGCTGGTATGTAGGAATAGGTGGGTTGGGAGGGAATCAGCAAAGCAGCGCTTGCTTGCTTAGAAACAGACGCCAGGACGAGCCTGCATCCCTCTGTGGTGAATTGGAAATCTATTAATATAAAGCAGTAAATGTTGGTAGAAAGAGACAGTTATAGTTATCTTCAGTCTGACAGCCCTACTAGATGGAAAGGTTCTTGTTGGAAGGCAGTGTTGGCTGCTGATGTCCTTATATTTTCTGACCATTGTCTCTTCCTCTTTTAGCTTTTTACAGGAGATAAAGCCAGATCCTAACTTATGCAAAGAAACAGCAGAATTGCTTAATTAGAAACAAGTCGAATCTTTGATAACAAGCAAGAATCATGCTTAGGTTCAGAATCTTTGAGCAGAAGATATATCTCTGTGTTATGGTGCATATCTAGATGTCCCTGCAAAGTCTCATGGTGGGGTCTTGGGGATACGATCGACTTATGGGGGTATGGCCTAGAAGGGTCTATCCCCCTCTCTCCTCCCTTGATCTCTCTGTCTCCTGCCACCATGCCATGAACTCTTTCTCCTTTGCCATGACCGCCTGCCTTGGGAATCAACTGACTCTATAAATTATAGCCAAAATAAACCTTTCCTCCTTTAAATTGTAGGTGTGGAGCAGTGTGTCTCAGCAAGGAGAGAGTAATTAAGACACCCAGATACTCTAGATACCCTAAGAAAATCCCAGGGATGCTTTTCTGCTTGAACTTGAAAATGTTCTCTGACATCATGAAAGAATCCTTCAAGTAGGAGGTGGGATGGAGGGTGCTTGTTAAACACACAAATTCTGCTGAGTATGACAGGCCCCTGTAAACCCAGCACTCTGGGAGACTTAAGCAGGAGACTGGCAAATTTGAGTTCATCCTGGGCAACTTAGTGAGATTCTGCCTCAACATTTTAAAAGAAAAAGGACTGGAAATGTAGCTTAGTGTGAAGGCCCTGGGTTCAATTCTCAGGGCCACAAAAATACAGATTCCTTGACCACAAGGTACATGAAAAGATGGCCAACATAATTAGCCACCAGAGAAATGCAGAGCAAACAACGAGACATCATTTCCTACTTACTAGGATGATTACAATAAAACAAACATGTAATAACTAGTGCTGGTGAGCATGTGAAGTTGGAACCCTCACATATGCCTGTAGGAATGTGACAAGGTTCAGTGGCTGTTTCTTAAAGGATAGAGCATATGACAGCAGTTCTACTCCTGCCATTAGATACACTCAGCAATGAAGAGAAATGAAAACATATGTCCACATAAAAACTGGTACGTGAATATTTATAGCAGCCTTATATTATTCACACTACCCAAACAGTGGAAACTACCCCAAATGTCAATCTATCAACAAATGTATAAACAAAATATATCTTCATGCAATGAAATGCTAATTGATCACAAAAAGGGAATGAAGTAATGACATGGTACAACATGAATGAAGCTTGAAAACATTATATTAGGTGAAAGAAAGAAGTCTGAATATAAGCTGCTTGAAAATATTGCCATTTAATTATTTCTAAGAACACACAACCTCCCACATGTATTACTGATAAAGTAATTCCAAATACCATATCCCTTGGGCTGGGACAGCAAGCCCCTAAGACCATTTGCAGACCATCAGGTCGTGGGTGTTCAGGACATTAATCTGCCCACCCAACTGGCCAGCTTAGCACATGCTCTTTATGGGCCACTGACTATCCATCCCTCAGATCCTGTGGCCTTGGGCCTTGCAGATCCTGCTCACCATTCTCCTGAGTTTCGGGTCCATCAAGCTGGTATTCTGAAGCCTTTTAGCACTGCCTCAACATCCAAGGAATATGGAAGAGGAAGTCCTACTGAGACGAGTGGGTATCATTAAATATTTCTGTGTTCCACCCCTCCCCATCCCCAGTAGGAAGATGAAGCTGATACAGTGAATCCATTCATATTGGAAAACAAAGATGCTTCATTTAGTCTGACTGCTGAAGAAGAAACAATGCTTCATAAAGCAGATTGCAGGATGATGTAGTGGCCAGAAAGTCATCTGATGCTCCTAGAGGCCAGAGGTCAGCTCCGGCCGCGACTCCCTGGGTGCTTCACTGTGTGGGTGGGGATATCACCTTCGACACAGAACAGCAGATGTGCTTGACAGAGGCCAGTAGGCAGAGCTGAACTGAGGCCACACAGCCACCATTTCCAGCGAACTTCTTGCTCTTTTGCTCTGGATGTTCATTGGATGGACATTATAGGTAGTGTGTTCATTTTCTAGGTAGGGCTGCAGTAACAATGGAGGAGGTGTAGGCAGCAGAAATGTGTACTTCCCAGTCCAATACCCAGGAGTGAGCAGCCTGAGTTCCCTCTGAGACTCTGGGAAGAGCCTGACCCTGGCCTTCCCATTTCATGTGATTGCTGATGACTCTTGGTGTGCAGAAGCATCATCCTAGTCTCTGTCTTTATCTTCATATGGCACTGTGTGTGTCCAAATTTCCCTTTCTTATGAAGTCACTAGTCATACTGGATTAAAACTTACTCTACTCTATTTAAATAAAGGCATTTGCACCAGCCATAGTGATGCATACCTGTAATTCCAGTACTCTGGAGTCTGAGGCAGGAGGATTGCACGTTTAAGGCCAGTCTGGACTACATAGCATGACCTTGTCTCAGTACATAACAAATAAAAAATGTATTTACAGTTACTCTATTTCTAAGTCAGGTCACATTTGAGATCTTGGTTTTAGGACACATGAATGAAGGGACACATGACCTTCTGTAAGCCCCCCAGTTAAACAGCGTCACAGCTTTTCAAAATCTGCATGTCTAGCTGTGCGACCTGGGTGGGAAATCCTCCCCAGAGGATGATGAGTGCCTCCTGGCTGGCACATCCCAACTGAATTCAGACCCTTCTGGGATGGTGTCTGAGTCTCAGCGTCTCTCACATGCTTCCAGATTTTTAGCGCAGAAGACTTAACTAGAAATCTCTGCTCATTTCTTACAGATAAAAAAACTGAGGCCAAATGCTGGGCAACCCACCCAGCTCCCCCTGGGTTATAGTTTATATCTGTATGGCCCACCAAGCCCTCATGTGCTCAGAGGCAGAGGCTAGTTGAAGGTGACTGGACTATGGATGTCTTAGTTACTTTTCCTGTTGCTGATAGAATACCCAGCACTCACAAGTTAAAGGAGAGGTTTATTTCAGCTCACCTTTCAGTCCATAGTCAGCTGGTTCCAAGGCAGAGTGGCATGGCAGAGTGGCATTGCAGAGAATCAGCCCATGGTAAAGCAGGCAGGAGACAGCAAAGCAGCAAGCAGCCTTCTTTCTATCCTTTTATATTCCAACAAGGCTTGTAGTTACAATTGTTTGGTGCCACCCACACCCAGGATGGGGGCTCCCCACACCTGGAACAGTGCTAAGCCAATTGAGTTATCACATAACCTTAATCACAAAACATAGATCTAGCTACCTCCCAAAAGCTCCACCTATGAGCACAGGAGGCTTTGGAGGGGCATCTAGATATAAGCCATAACAATGAGGGAGCTATATGTGGCTTGGCATTGGGAGGCAGGGTCTAGTTGGAAGAGGTGGGTCACTGGGGATGTGATCTAGAAGGGTTTGTCTCTCCCCCGGTCTCCTTCCTTCCCTCTGCTCTCTGGCTACCACGAACTTCTCCTCCACCATGCCCCTCTGTCGCTGATTTCCTGAGTGTCTCAGTGTCGCAAAATGAAGAGAGGCAAGATGTGGGGAGCAGATCAGAGGACTGCAGCTCACTCAGGCAGCCTCATGATCACAACTGCAATATTTATTTAAGCTATTCAGAGCATCAGACGAAAAGCATGTTTTTAGCATTTTATCTTATATCTGAAGTTATATAATATTTTGGCCAGCTGTGTTCACAAAAACAACTTTGTTTTTTACTTTGTCCTTCTAACCCCTTAAAAAATATCTTTTAGTTTATCTACATCCTCTTGGGAGATTAACAAGGGACAAACAAGAATTGCTTGCACTTCTTATCTTGAGATGACCGGCTTGCCACTGAGATCGAACTGCTTGCATTTCTTGTCCTGAGTCAACTGGCTTGCCAGGCACTCAGATGTCCTTATGTTTCTTCCAAGATGGATGCTCTTATGTCAAGTTCCACTACACCCTCTGCCATGCTGCCCTTCCTTTGGAGCCAGAAAACTATGGACTAAACCCTCTACAAATTATGAGGCAAAACAAACCTAATTTGCGGGTGCTGTGTATTATTTCCCAGCCACAAGAACATGACATAGATACTGTGCGACCCAGCACTCCACCTGGGAGTTGGTCCCCTGGACATGGCCCCAGTGTTCTGGAGAAAAGAGAACATCAGGACACCTCAGCACCTTTGCATGAGGAGGCTGGGGGCTTCCCTCTATTGCCTGGGGTTCTAGTCAGCAAACTGGGGTCAAGCCTGGGGGAGTGGCGAGCCTTACTATGGAGAACAAGCCTTCCCCAGCCATATCGCTGGACTTTTCTGTTGGCTGTGAAGCAGAAGTCAGAACAGCTCACCTCACCCTTCCTGACACCTCTCCATTTCTGGGCTGGCTCCAGGGAACAGGATCCAGACCTTCTCTTAAGGCCCTAGCTGCTTTAAGGTCACTCCAAATTCTGGTGCCTGGAAATAAAGGCCAGACCAATGGGCAACAGTCCTGTCAAGAGATAAGCTTTTGACTTTTCCCAATGACCCCCTCCTGGAAGTGTAGGCTCTACCCAATTTCTGACCTATGAGTCAAAATAGCAAAGTGAACAAAATATGTCTAAACTTTATAATAAATAAGGCTGGTATTTAAAAATGTAAAAGAACACTTTCACTACTGATTCTTGGCTTTAGACAGCCACAGAGGAACTAAGTGGAACAAGCTCCTGTGCAGTTTCTTGCCAATGACAGCTTTTGTAGTCTGTGTTCCCAGACATCTTGCCCACAGTTCATGGTGGCTGGCAGCACTCAGATGCCAACAGCTTCCTTTGCTGTCCTCCTTGGGAAACTTCATAAAGAGTACTGTCAGCAAGATGCCTCCCTGCGTGGTTTTTCATGAGGGCAGATTTCCATCAAGTGTCAGTGCTCACCACCATGGCTTCTCTGCTGGGAGCTGGGCTATGGCCATACACTCACCAGCAAGGTCTTTATGCTGTCTTGGTACAGGCTTTTGAGTGTGCAGTCTTAGTATCTGCTTCCTGTATCTGCTCTTTCCACTGTTGGATTCTATACATATATGACTACAAATTCCATTTTCAATCTTAAGGGTCTGGAAATGAAATCATTCCTATATCTTGTGCCTGTAAGAAGACATGCTTCATGGAGACTCCCGGGCCTATGCCACACAAGATACTCTAACAGAGAACTGCTTGCAATGGGCTGAACAGCTAGTCCACAAGACACAGGAGCTACTGTTGAGGTTTCTGGGGGAAGACCCTGTAATATTCTTTTTGCAAGACAGGAGGCTGAAAGAATGGTCCTGAAGTAGTTTAGAGTTGGAGAACTGAGCACTCATATACAGCTTTTCCAGCTCTGCTGGAAGCCACCTTTGTCTTTTCTACAAAGTCAGAGACTTATTTGAAAGTTGCAGAAGTAGTTGAATATCTATATACCCAGCTAGTCTTACATAATTATAGTAAAATGATCAAAACATAGAACCAGTCTGCACCAGTCTGACACTACATTACTTATTCAGGTTTCAACAGTTTGTCTAGTACTTTTGCACAATGAGCTTGAGGTTGCCAGAATTCATGTCCTCTATGGGGTATTGTGTTTCGGATCTGCAGTGCTGGTGTGTCATAACAGCCAAGGTTTTTTGACCAGATGGTTCATATGAGTCTACCAGGTTTTCTACTATGAAGATACTATTACCCCCTGAAGATTAAAATCTTGGGGACCTATCTTCAGGCTTTACAAATATTCTGATTCTAAATGTTTGCTTGCCTAGTGTACATTGGGAGGATCTTGCTGCTGCAACTGAGGCATTCCAGTGGTGACTTTCTACTTCCATTAGTACTTTCACACTGATGAACTGAACCCTTTGGGAGGCTGTCCCCCTTCTCATCTACTTATTGGCTCATAGACAGTTATTTATTCTGTAGGTTACAATTTTATAGTATTTATCATCATTTTTCTTGCTCCAGTTGTTCTTTGGCTGTGTGCTTCTGAGCTGGCTCCTATGTCCTCTGAATGTGACTTTCTGCCACCAGGAGATGCTCCAGGTTCATGTACTTTTGCTGCCTCAGCTCTAGGATCAGCCACTTCTCCAAAGAGCCCTGGTTCCTTTTACCAATTTATTCTTTTTTTTTGTACTGAGGATTGAACTCGGGTCCTTGCGCTTGCAAGGCAGGCCACCGAACCGCTGAGCTAAATCCCCGGCCCTACCAATTTATTCTTAGGTCTTTGATATCAAGTTTTGATTGAACCACACCTACTCTAACTTAGCAATATTAGGAACCACTCAGGGACAGACCATTTCTCTTATATACTCAGGAAATGATGAATGAACACCCCTTTATGGACTGGGGAGGGCAGCATGCTCACTTGGAAAGACCTGAGTCTTGTTTTGTGAGACCTGACCCTAAGATGACAGTTACCCAGATTCTACCTGACAAGCACAAGTGTGTTCCAGAAAAAAGTCAGATGGTACCTAAGCACACATGTGTTTCACAGGTAAACCAGATGCGTAGACAAGCACATATGCTCCACAAATGAGAGGGCACCCGACAAGCACACGTGCTCCTCAAATAAGTCAGACACAGCAATTCCCTCAGAAGCTTCATTTTCGCTTTTATTGAGCAGTATAGACTGAGATGGACCGGTCCTTCTACAATGACTCTTAGCTTAGGTTCTGAGGGCTGGTAAAAGACAGTAGAGAACACAGGTGTTGAACAAAGTCTGGAGAAAGAACAGAACTGAATAACAGCATTGGGTTCCAAAGGGGGCTGTCATGACATAAGAAGCCCCTGAATTTTCTCATTTCGTTTCTGAATATCCCAAGTGTGAGTCACCTGACAGAGAAGGCAAGAACACAGGCAGAAAGCAGCAAGCCCAAGTTTATCCCAATTCTATGACAGCCAATACCACCTACAGAGATTATAGGGATCTCAGGTGCTTTTGCTTTCTGGAGGTCGAGTCATATTGGCCACTTGTAAGAATCTACCCAGGAGTCAGCCAGATATTCCTGATAAGCCCTCAGGACTAAATGTTCCCAATTGCCGGACACACTTGACTCCACCCACACAACAGCTGGACACATGGCCCTTCTTAGAAGACTGTGCACCACCTGATGTGAGGAAGAAGGAGAAGGAATTTCCACTTTCTTGAGCCAGTGAGAGAGGACAAGGGCAAGGAGAGAGGGCAGAGGTGGGTTTCCTTCTGGTCAGACATGGCACTCCATGAGAAACAGGTCTCTCAGTCCTTCAGCTGAGAAACCTCAAACAGGTATGTAGCCAGCATCTTGGTTCCTTCTATATAGTTATGCCTGATGGGAAGGATAAATCACCATGTCAGCTGGTGTCATGTGGTGGCAGCATCTAGATATACAGAGTTGCTTTCTGAGGCATAGGCTTCTGGGAAGCATCCCCCATCTTGGCTTGGAATCTGCTTGTCTTTAGAACACAGCTACCTGATTCTCAACCACAGGTCCAACCTGACCTCTCACCCAAGGAACCAATCTTGTCCTGGCCTAAGACTGTAGAGGTTCACCCAGTATCTTGATAATAAATGGCTTCACCTGCCCTAGGGCCCCTCCTCTGGTTCCTACAACCCAGGCCTTCACCTTATATGCTAGTAACCAAGTCTCTATCTCCTCTAGCCACACCTCCTCAAGTAGAGTCTTTGCTCTGTCCTAGTCCCGACTGTCTACCTGGTCACTCAAGATAGGCCCTTGCTTCCTGTCTTCGTTAGCAGCCCCAGGCACAGAAAGCCTCTTCTGTACTGCACGTAGCCCCATCTGCCTGGGTCTCTCCTGACTGCCACTAGCCAGAGGATCCCTGTCCTGTGGGCTACAGGAATCCCCATCACATCTGCTCATGCCAAAATGTGTAAAGGCAGCTTTAGCAGTTAGCAATGACATAATTTTTCAAAAGGGAAAAGTAGAGAGGGTTTTATCAGTGGTAGAGAAAGAAAGCAATGAACACAGAACATTGGTTGAACCTTGTTTTCACAAACTGCTACCATCAAGGCCTTGTCCCCACTTCCCATCAGAAGTTTTGACTTACAAATACGGAAAGGGTGGTCCCACAATATCCTACTCACTTCTCTTAGCAGTAGTGACATTCAAACCAACCTGGCTTCAGGATCTAGATCTTGAAGTCTCACCTGTTAAGCTTTTCATTCTGGGAGTGGGCACCATCATCTGCTGACCCCACTGGCAACAGCATCACATTCTTGCCGGTGGCCTCCTGGAAGGTCAAGGTCACAGGGATACTGCCACCTTCCCTGGTCAAGTCTGGTTCAACACCAAAAACTGAGGGAAATGAAATGAGAAAAACGGTGAATTGTAGGGTTTTGAGGCTGGAGATCAGTCATGGAGATACTACCAAGCAATACTAAGTCCAGACCTTGAACATAGCAACCCTGCTTGTTAACAGCTTGTATCCAGATATTCTGCCAAAGCCTCATTCACTCATAGGTGGGGAGTTTTGAAGGTGGCTGGATTAGGGTGTGGGAATGTCAGTTAAAGGTGTGATACAGTACTGGGTTTAAGGGTGTGGACAATGAAAGACCCATTCTGGGTATGGGTGGCACCAATCCATAGGCTTGTAGCCTAGATGGGACATACAGGGACAGAAAAAAGGCAGGCTTGCTGCTGCTGCTTTGCTCCCCACAGCCTTATGCTTGCCATGTTGTGGACTGTTTCCCCTTTGTAATGCCCTTGTGCCATGCCACCCTGCCTTGGAACCAGGTGACTGTGGACTGAGACCTCTATAAATTGGGACCTGAAATAAACTTTTCTACTTTTAACTTTGGGTGTCTGATATTTTGTCTCAGCAGTGAGAAAGCAACTAAGACATTGCCCCTAAGAAGTGGGCTGGTGGCCCAGGCCTCATCCCACAGGCCTCATCCCACAGGCCTCCCTCAGAACTGCAAACAGCCATGTGCCCAGCATGACAAGCAGAGTCTTCAAAATGCTGAGGGCCCTGGAACCCATCCTTAAAAGAGTGTCGAACCTGTTTTCAGGGCTCTTCTCCCAGCCATATAATGTGGGTGGTTGAAATCAGATACCCAAGGCTTCCCACCATGGCCCATGTACACCTTGAATTTGTTGGGGCTATGCAGTTCAGCAAACTTCTTAGTCAAGTAGCTTGTAACCTAAAGCACAAACAGAAGAGACACACAACGTTTATACGCTTGGCATCTGATCCAATGTTAGTGATCTACAGTGGGCCTATGAGGAGGCATGTGAATCCACAAGAGATCTACATCCAGGGTACAATAAGTCTACAAATGGTCTACAATAGGGCTACAAGTCTAAAATGAGTTTCATTTTCTGCTCCTGAATACTGATCTGCATCACTATGACAGCAGAAAAGGAGACCTAGTCAAGATACAAAATCCAGTTATTTGAAAAGCAATGTTTTTTGGTATTGGAGATCGAACTTGGGACCTTGTGCTTACGAAGCAGGCAGTGGAACCACTGAGCTAAATCCCCGGCAAAAGGCAATGTTTTAATTTCAAACAATTCACCTTTTACTTAGGTGTTTTAAATGATGATAATTAAGTTTTCAAAAAGAGTTCTGTCTTGCTTTATGTTCTGTATGGGATGTCTGTAACCCTCCAAGATTCCTACGTTGACACTCTAAACCTCACTATCATGATACTGGAGATATGGCCTTTGCTGAAGTAATTAAGGTTAAATAAGTTAGAAGGGTGGGTGGTTGGCTTTTCAGCCTCCAGAAATTTGTGAAATAAACTCCTGTCACTTAAATTACTCAGTCTACGGGAATTTGTAACAGATACCCTAACAGACTATTACACTTTAAAAAAGTGATCGCAAGCTAGATTTCAACTAGATGTACTGTCAGTGGATGGACCCAAGGATATGGCCTGAGACAAAAATCTCAGTTCTCCCATGGACAGCAGGCCTCAGTCTCCTCTTCCAAGGTGGGAAGACTCTGAGTCCATCTTTCCATGAAATCTTCCTGGACTCACGCAGAGTGACTGCTCCATGAGCCTGGTTGACCTGCAGTTACTGGAATCCTTTCTTCTGCTTGTCATCACCATGAGAGGCAGCTCTCCTGGACTCCTACCAGATATATCTGCTCCAAAATCAGTATCTGACCAGCCAAGGGGTGAGGGCAGAGGCTAGACTGTGACATACCTCAGCAGTAATAGGGTCACTTATGTGTGATGCTTGGTAATATGGTCTTTACCTTTGCTAAGGTTCTGCATTGCTTATTCTAGTCATTACTGAGTGGCAAAAGAAATGGTACATGAGGGGCTAGGTTTCTGCCCTAATAAATGCCTTCTGATCCCCTAAATCTCTGATAACACAGCAGCCCCTGACCCTCAGCAGTGCCCCGTGGCCCCACATGCCTGCTCGCTGACAACTTCAGGGGTCATGTTCGGCACGAGCCTGATGGAAAACTTGCCAATCACTTTCCTAGGAATCACAGTCTTGGCCCCGGACCCAGAGAAGGCTCCTTCGATGCCGTGGAGAGAGAGGGAAGGGTACCGCCATCGGTGCATCAGGATGTCTTTCTGTAGAATCAAAACAGAGGGGATCAGGGAGCAATCTTCCTTGCTTGGATGGGATGTCATCTGAGCAGCCAGCTTTTCCTGAGACAGAGCCTGGCTAGGGGCCCAATAGACCCAGAAGGAGGTACAGATGTGGGACTCACCAAAGGAGGGCTGCTCAAAGGTTGTCACAGATCCCTAAGAAGGAATCTGCTAGCCTCAGGAGCTGATGCTGTAACACTGGTGCGATCTGCTCTCCCACTCTGAGTTTTCAGGCCCCGAACAGCATGCTGCATTTCTGCACACACCAACCTCTCTCTCCCTCTCTGCAGGAGTCTTTCACCAGGCCTAGCCACTCCCAGGCCTGACCACCCTCCCCGCAGGCAGGCCCAAAATCCTATGCCCAACCTGGCCTTCAGCACATCTTTCTGGAGTTCTGGGTAAAGATGAAACTCAAGGGCCAAGACTAGTGTATCCCTCTCCTATCCCTGGGCCTAGAAACTGGGCCTGCTGCTGCAGTAGATTAAGTCTAGCTATAAGAAAGTCTCTGGACTGATATCCATACCTCATAAATCAAGATGTAAACTCATAAGAGAGGGTCACATGATTTTCTCTAACAGTTAAGTAAACATTTTGTGCAAACAGCTCCCACCTTCCTACTTGGCCTTGTTAGATATGGCTTAATTTTTTGGGACCAATGCTAAAGAAATTACTGTAGAAACTCAAATAGACAAAAGCTACCTGCCAGCAGATGACCCATGTTATTCCTACATATTTCCTCTTCTTCCCTAGTAGAAAGTGGATTTTGACATTTAAAAAGCCCTTGCCACTGCTGACGTGACCAGTTGTGCCTTCTACTTCTCTTTACCATCTGAAGATTCCTAAGCACACGCCCAGGAAGAGCTTGGACGAGGAACATGGGGGCCCCCAGACGCACCTTGCAGCTGTGCAGGAGGGTTTGAGTCCCAATGTCCTTGGCGAACTCCTCCATGTCAAAGTCAATGTGGTTGTAGAGCTCCTGCTCCTCATTGGTCAGGGGGGCAACAGCCTGGATAATGCCAGGGATGAGGATTTTCCCTTTATTGTCTATCAGAGAGCCTAAGGGAGGCAGCAGAGGGTTAAGCTACAAAATTAACTGTTTTCAGCCACAATGATTCCAGGAAGTTAGGCACAGGGGGCGACCAACAGCTCACCCACCTGGCCAGGTGAGAGACACATGAGGTCTGGAGGAGCAGTGGATGGCTCTGATGGTGACATTACTTAGCCTGCTACCTCTCTGAGTGCCTTATTCTAGGAAGTCAATTAATTATCACAATAGCGTAACAAGGTAAGCAGAACCATTATTTTCACTTTTTAGATAAAGAATCCAAGGAAGAGGTGAAAGTTATTCTGAAATTTTCCTCAGTCACACACTGGGATACTAACCAAGCAGACTGCTCCAAGCAGGCTCATTCTAAAGCCTGCACATTACACAAGAAACATGCTGCTCCCAAGTTGAGAGAAAACGGGTTGGGACAGAGCCAACCCCAACCTCAGAAATGACATTCCTTCCCCTGTCCTTGAGGGGACAAGAATGGAGCTCAAAGAATTGTAGGTGGCCATAACAGCTCATTTAGCCTTACAACAGGAAGATGCCAGGAATAGAAAACTGGCCCTTGTTTTCCAGGAGCTGACCAAGCAGGTAGACCCACATGTGACCACTTATAAAAAAAACAGACCAAAGCAAATGCCCTCTACAAGATGTAAAATATAGTGTCCGGGGAAAGACAGTCTCCCATGGACCTCTGAGCAGGCCAAATAGGATCTGGGGTATCCTGGGGAATAAGGGAGGTGGGGAACACTTTTAGCAGGTGGTGAGAAGACCCAAGAGGCAGAACATGAAGAGGATAGAGGTAGAGATGAAGCATAGGGATCTTGTAACAAAAAGTGAGGAGGGGGAAAGAGAGAAGGAATTTGATTAGAAACAGAGGAGTCAGTTCATGAAGAACACTGAGATGCACTAAGTGCCGATGACAGACATTCTGGACATAAGGCCTCGCTCATTTTCCCAAATCATAAAGTACTGACTGACATGGAGCCAAGCCCACACTCACCCATCAACGAAATGAGATCCGTCATGGCCTCATGGACTGAGCCTCCATAGACCCCAGAATGGAGGTCTTTGTCACTGCATTCCACCTGGACACAAACAAAGGCCACTTTATTTAGCTGCTTATGGGAGCTTATGTTTACCATGTGACAGTTCACTGAACAAAGAACATTTATACGACCTGACAATTTTCCAAGTCAAAATCTAATCCCTTAAAGGAGCAAAACATGGCATTTCTCCAATTAGTAAAAAATACTCCCAGATGTGCTAATAGGCACTAGGAATGCTAACTAGAGGTATAGGAATGCTAGCCATGGTAACTTGGATATACTAATCAGATATACTGGGAATGCTGGTCACAGGCAAGTGTACACTGCACAGTAACCTCCCCCTAGCACTCAGGGTCTTTTTCCAAAAAAACAGGACTCATCTTTTCACGAAGACCCTGTGCCTACCTCCTATGAGGGCCAAACCTACTATGCATCGTGACCAACATGGACCTGAAAGCCAAGTATCTTTGTTCCAATCTACTTGCCCCTCCCCAATGTGACTAGTCCTATAACCAGCCAAGGCAGCCAATGGCTATGTGGCCCCATCTGGAGGAACAGGAAGAATAATCACTAGCAGCCCAGGATCAATTTTTTTTTTTTGTACTGGGGATCAAACTCGGGACCTTACACTTACAAGGCAGGCAGAGTGCCACTGAGCTAAACCCCAGCCCTAGTCCAGGGTCATTTTTAACCTGTGTAGCCATGCCATGAGCACAGTATGTACTCCATGTAGCAATGGCCATGTTTTCTGTGATGTTCAGGTGATAAAAGACCTTTTCAGAAAAGATCTGTTTTAACCACCACAGTGCCTATGCAGAAGGCACCTCCACCCTTACTTGGCAAACGACCTTTGCCAGTGAGTGGTAGTGTCTGGCAGGTGTCCAAGACTATCCATTTATATTACATACTATCTTGGCTTCTCTTTATCTACTGGAGGTCTCTGATGTGACTTGAATCTAGACATCCCCTCAAAGCCTGATACAGTCACAGCTGGGGAGTTTTGAAGGTGGCTGGATTAGGGTGTGTGAATGTGGATAAGGGTGGAATTAAGGGTTCCCCAACCTGGGTGTGGGTGGTACCACCCAAAGGGTGAGTGCCCTGGAAGGGATGAAAGGGAGAGAAAGAAGGCAGGCTTGCCGGTGCTGCTTTAATAATTTATTGCTTTGCTGCCTCTTGCCTGCCCTGCCACACCATGAACTCTTTCCTCCTTTGTGATGCCTCTCTGCCATGATACCCTGCCTTGCAACCAGCTAACTATGGACAGAAACCTCTACAAACTGTGAGCTGAAACAAGCCTTTCCTCCTTTAATTTGTGGTTCCTGGGAGCAATAAGAAAAGTAACTAAGACAGTCTCTATCCCCTCAAGATAACTCAGTCACAGAGAAAGAGATTCAGGACTAAAGTATGAACATTTTAAATTTTAAAAAGTGTTTTTCAAATGCTTTGTATATGTCTCAGTCTTCTTAAGATAGACTAGCATTTCTCAATTGCTCCAAGATAACATTACTAATACCGCCTAGCTTGACATTGCTAAGAAACGGATTTCTGATTATCAAAAGTTATCACTGTTCACATCTGCTGGGGTGTTACAATGGTTTATAGAACCTAAGAAGTAGGATATTCAGCGAGCTCTGTTCTTCATCTATGAGTGACTTCTTGGTACTTGCTTTCTTTAGGGTACAAAAGAATAAGGAGACTTAGGAGTCAGCGAGCCTACTCAGCCACATACCTCGATAAAGAAGTAGCAAATGCCCCTGAGACCATATGTGATACAGGGCTTCTTTTTCCCCAGCCAGTAATTGTCAGAAATGCAAATGTAGTCCACATCTTTAAAGAAGGTGTCTTTCTGGGCAAAAATCAGCTCATCCAGGCCTTCAGAGCCAGACTCCTCCATGCCTTCGAGGCAGAATCGCACATTGACAGGAATTTCCTGTGAGAGGGAAAGGGCAGGAGAGGGACTCAGCTTCCTTACTTTCCTTCCAGAAGCAACAGACAGGGAGCCATCAATACTTTGAAACTGCAAATTGTAATATTTGACCTCCTTCAGACCAACCCCAGGTAAGCACTGGTCTTTAGGGCACTGTTTCCAGTTTGAGAAGGAAACCCTCTATATCATGCCTTCATGAGATCCCTGGGGGTTCCTCGCATAAGCAAATGAGCAGCATCCAGGGAAGCCTGAACTGTTCTCTTGTGACATAGGGACAAACAGCACAGCATAAAAAGCTTCCCTGAATCCTCACTGCAGTAGAGCGAGCCTCTGCTAATACACTGATGACAGACAAGGCCCTCTTGCAGTGCCAGCACAGCTCTCTGTACAAAAGTGGTGGCTTGGTCCTGGGAGCTTGATAGTCACTGTGGCACACTGCTCTGGAGTTGGATCATTTCCCAGGTGCCCTCCCAGCTCTGCAGAGTGAGACAGGCAGCACCAACCTCAGAGAAGAAAAGGAGGTTATATGTGAGCCAGGCAATTTGCCAGTGGCCACACAGGCCCTGGAACAGCAGTGCCCAATTCAGGCTCAAGTCTATGAAATCCTGGTTCAAATCTGCCCCCAGCACTGTTCACTAAATGTGCCTCCTTTTCCAAACTTCCTCCACCTGCCCCCATGAAATCTTCCCAGGACCTGGACAGTGAACAGGTACAACTGGAGCTGCTGGCAGGGCTCTGCCCTATATATAGCCTCTTGTTACTCTGGTTGCTCACAGACTCTTTCATCTAGAGGCTGACAGCTCCACAGGGCCCTGGAGGAGGTGGGGCTTCCTGGTTCCTCTGTCCAGTACTCAGGCTGGCCATGGGACTCACCAGGTAGTTTTGCGTGTTAGTTTCCCCCTATTTAAAATTCTCCTCTGGACCAAGAGAGTCTGAGACCCTTCTCAGATCCAAGATTCCATGCTTAGACAAAATGTTTATCTTATCATTTTATTATTATCTTATTTTATTTATATACAGGTATGAACCAGATGCACAAATTATTTATACAACATGACTACAAGTTAAAAAGCATCAAAAAGTTTGATAACAAAGTATTTTGAGGATTGGCATTCTAGCAATATTTCCCTCTACTTTTCTGTATTTTACCAACTTTGAGCAATGAGTAGATATTTCATAGTTGTAGAAATATGTTCTTTAAAAATAAAATTTATTTTTATGAAGTTATAAGTCATACAGAGTAAGCAATTTGAGCCTGTAATCCCAGCACTTGGGAGGCTGAGGCAGAGAGGGTTGCTGTGAGTTCGAGACCAGCCTGGGCTACATAGTGAGTTCCAGGTCAGATTCAACTACATAGTGAGACTCTGTCTCAAAACAACAACAACAACAACAACAAAACAGAGTAAGCAATTTGTCCAACACCACAAAGCCTGTTACATGCTGGCAAGTGGCCACGCTCATGGTACAGTCAATTGAAAATTCACATTTTGGGATAGGGATGTGCCTCAGTGATACAGACAAGGCCCTGGGTTTGATCCCTAAGGAAGAAAGGAACCAAGGAAGGGAAGAATCACATTCTGTATTGGCAAGAATCTTGCTGACTGGTCAACAGTATAATCTTTGAGCATCTGTAAGGCAATTATCTTTCAATGGTTTTTCAAGTTGTAAGGAGTGATAATCTTAAATCAGAAACACTGTGCTGATTAAGCTTGGGCACATGTGCTATCTCCTTATGTAATGATCTTTACAGTATGTTCAAGAGAACCCAGTGAATCAACAGCATTAATGTGGAGGCATACCTGACCTGTCTTCTGATAAGCTTCTAGGGCATTCATCCAGCCGGCCACAGGTCCCTTATCATCAGTTGAACCTCTCCCAAACAACTTGCCTACCACAGCAAACAGCAAATATAGAGTTACGATTTGGAGAATTCAAAAGAAGTGCATCTCAAGTGAACAACTGATAACATCTTAGCACAACTACACATGGCTGTCCATGGTAAGGATATCTCTTCACATCAGAAGCCCGAGTGTCCACCCTACACCACTGCTAGAATCCACCGAGCATTCATTGTGGTCAATAAGGCAAGTCATATGGGTGCCTCGAGTTACCCGTGCCTTGTCACAAAAACTGGCCAGGGCTACAATCCTGTTGAGTTAGGGCAGATGCTTAAAATCAAATTCCAGGAAATCCCGACCACTTAGTAGCTCATTAAAAACTATTTACCAAATGCAGCTCTTGGCAACATGAAAAGAAGTTGAGCCACATTTAGGAACCACACATACCATAATCACAAAAACACCACAAACCCCCTTCCCCACCCCAACTCTGACACCTATTTTGATAAAAAATAGAATTTTCATTTTTACTATTGACTTTTTTTTGTTTCTCTTTTTCTTCAATTATTACATCAGAAACAAAAGAACATGACACTACTTCCAACTAGCGTTATCAGTCATGTGGTTCCCTTTCCACATCTGCTTCTGGTACAGAGGCAGATGCCCAGGCTGGGAAGCAGTAACAGCAGGGCTGGGATGTAGATCAGTAGAAAATGTGCTTGCCTAGCATGGTTGAGGCCTTGGGTCTGATCCCTAGCACCATAAAAAAGATAGCTCATAAAATAAGTCTATAGCCCTCTTTCTCCCTCAGCCCTGGGACCCAGGATACAGTCTCATGGAAACCAGGCAGTCTCTAAGAAGCCAGGAAGCCTCCCTGCTCAGTACATGCCCTTCTGTCACTGGCCCTTGGCCTGTCCCCAGCCAGTCTTCTCACTGGTCTGTAGAGGAGGTGTGTGGGTGTCCTTCTGCCTGGGTTGAGGCAGGTTTCACTGAGGACCTGGCATAGGTGACACCTGGCATGGGTGACACATGTTGATGCACAAGCCAGTGAGCACAGCGGGTCAGGGACTCTGTCCACAGCACAGAGTTGGACCCTAGGGCCTGTGTGGCTGGACGCAGGTGGGAGAGAAACTAGAAAGGAAAGGTGGATATGAAGGGGGGCTAAGAGGACTTTTTGCACTGATCTGACTCCTTTGAGAGGTGTCAGGTAGAGCTGGGGTCACTTTGAGATGAGTACACAAGAGGGATGAGACAGCTAAGGCCTGGAGGGGGCAAAAGGATAATATAAACAAGGCCCTCAGTGAAGGAAGGGGCCATAGAGGACTGGAACAGGGATAGGACAACCCTCTTTCTGCTGCAGGTGGCAGGAAGATGGTTCCTCTCTCACTAAGGCACCAGAAGGGATGAGATACATTAGATGAGATAAAGAACCACCAAGGAGACACAAGGTCTGATACTCAAGAGGAGCCAAGTCCAAGTGCAAGTCCATGCGGAAGTTTACTCTGCAATTAGCTGTAGGTCAGCAATGACAGCAGGATATGGACAAGGGTATGGGCTAATGTTTTATAGATGTTTCTTTAAGGAAAATGATTTTTCAGTCTCACAGTCATGGACACAATACACATCAAGGCAGGAGAGATGTGATAGAATCTGCATATAGTTAAAGAAGAGGGTCTGGACCTTAGCCCCAAGGGGCAAGATGCAAATGAAGGGGCTTCTATACTGACTGTCATACACAGAAACAAGTGCAAATTCAGAAATAAAAGTAAGGAACGTTTATACCAAGAGGGGATGGGAAGAAGAGGCCAACCTCTAGTGGGCCCTTCAAAGGGTCTGCTATACTGTTGGTGCCCAGCTGGGGAGGCTTTGCACGAACAAGTTATCCTTACTCTTATCTCACCAGGGCAGGCAGAGGTCCAGGAAATACAGCTAACTTCAGAACATTCTGCAGTGGAGTAACTAAAATGCTCCCCAGAAGCAATACTCATTTGAGATGAGGCACCCGATTACAGACCTTGAAGATTAGGTGGCCCAATTCAGACCACCCTCTGGAAAAGGAGTCAATAGCAAAGGAAGCCCAGAAGACCCAGAAGGACTCTGTTCCATGAGAGAAGGAGCGAGCCCTGTGCAGGACCATCCTCCTCACCATCTCGCTCCACCAAGGTGAAGGGCTCACTATCCCAACCGTCCTCCAGGGCTGCAGGCTGCACGTCCAGATGCCCATAAATACACACCGTCTTCTTCTGTGGATCGCAGCCCAGTTTGCCCAACAGAATGGGAGGAAGAGGTATCTCCGAACCATCAGGGAGCTAAGTTGAAGGAAGTGATCAGGGACAATCTCGTTAGTAAACTCAGAATTCATAGCAGATATTAAATATACCTGAGCTTTCTGATCTGTTCTAGTCAATCAACTTCTGTTGTAAAGTTTAAAAGATCATATTGTTCAACAGAATCTTTCATTAACAAATAATTTGCTTTCCTGTAACTCAGAACACATACTGAATTACATTTATTAACTAGCTTGGAAAATTTCTAAAGGCTGATTTTTAAAAACTTTTGTGTGATAAAACATAATGCAATTTAATACAGCATATAATTTAGTGTGTTATTTGCTGAAATGATGGCTAAAAACAACTATAATCTTGTTGGATGTGGTGACTTGTAGCCATAACCCCAGCACTCTGGTAAGCCAAGGCAAGAAGTATGCAAGTTCAAATTCAGCCTGGGCAAGACTTAGCACAACCCTGTCTTAAAATAAAAAATGGAAAAGGGCTGGGAATGTAGCTTAGTGTGAAGACCTTGAGTTCTATCCCCACTATATACAGGGGTAGGGTTGGAGGCATATTACAATATTAACTGAAAGATAAATTTTTGAAATTCTGAATGTAGACTAATATCATATACAGAATAGGCCACAAACCAAGCTATAAAGAAATATAAGTCATATGAAGCTATAATAAATTAAGTAGAGATAGTTGTACTCCTTCTGGGCTTTGTCCCAAAAGCCGTGTTATCCACTATCTGTAAAGATGGGAAACAGGACCTTATTCACTAGAAGAGAAATGTAGAGAATAAAGGCAAATCAGTTGCAAGTCCTCTCCCACTTTGCATAGGCCAGTGGTTTCTGCCTGTGATTTTATTTTATTTTTTATTTTTATTTTTTCGGTACTGGGGATTGAATTCAGGACCTTACACTTGTGAGGCAGGTGTCGTGTCACTGAGCTAAATCCTGGCCCTTCTAGCTGTGATTTTAAATCATGGCCCTTTGGCTGTACCAAGTCTATAAGCCCTTATACCTCCTCTAGCTGTCCTGCATTCCAATAGAAAAACTGATCACTACCAAGTGTCACCACCGGAAAGTGGCAGGGAAGGGTGAAAGCACAGATACTCTTGTTTCAGTTGCAGGAGGAAAGGACTGTTCCAGCCAGACAGCATGCACCTGTATTAGTCTGTATTTGAAAATATTCTTCTTCGACAATTTCATTAGCAAACATAACACACAAACTAAACTGATGAAGCTAAATTAATCCTTTACAATTAAGATGCAAAATGAGCCAGCCAGGTGTGGTGCCACACACCTGTAATCCCAGCACCGAAGGCTGATGCAGGAGGATTGCTGTGAGTTCAAGACCAGCCTGGGCTACATAGTGAGTTCCAGGTTAGTCTCCACTATATAGTGTGACCCTGTCTCAAACAACAACAACAACAACAAAAAGCAAACCAAAACAAAGATGCAAAATGAACAGCAACTGACAATGACAACTAGACCAGGACAATGCTGGTGTTAGCTAAGTGTCCATTCCCAAACTCTAGGGCTCCTGAGGTGTCCAGAATTCTGAGGACATAGGACTGGTCTTCTCAGTAAGCTCTACTTAAAATACCCATGTAACTCATAACTTGACAGCTACCAGAATACTTACTTGATGTCTCTTACCCCCCAAACTACAAAGGAGCCTTTCTGCATCAGTTCTCATGACACTGTACTGTAGCCACCAGGGTCAAACATTGTTTTTTTTAAATGCCCTGCATGCGCACATAGAACACATGGTCTCTGCAGTCACTGCCAGCTCTCAGCTGGCCTGAGCAGGAAAAAGAATTTTAAATGACAACAGATTTCGTCTCAATAAATTCCTATTCAACCAAGCCTGAAAGATGAAAATGCTTCATGCTTCTCTCAGGATGCTGGTGGGGCCATAGGTAAATCGGTCCTGAAACTGAATCAAGCCTAAAACTCCCAGTGTCAACTTCCCTCCATAAACTTGGAAACACTGCCTTCTGCAGGTGCTCATGGTAACCTACTGTTCACGGGCCTCAAGGTTTCATTTTGGTTTTGTTTTTTTTGAGACAAGGTTTTACTATGCTGGTTTTGAACTCACTGGCTGGCCTTGAACTCAGAGTGATCCTCCTGTCTCAGCCTCCTGAGTGCTGGGATTATAGGTGTGCTGCAACATGCCAGACTTTTATCATCCCCTCTGGACATACAGCACTGCTGCTAACCACAGTGACATTGTCAAATTCAATTTGTTCCAAATTGTGTTTGAACACTGAAAAGTTTGAGTATTAAGCATGTTTTTCCCACAAGAAATAATGGAAAACCAAGTAATTAGTTCTGAGGCCCCAAAATTATACTTATAAATTCATTTTTCTAGGACTTTAACAAATTTTACAATGATTTCTTTCTTTAACTCTACTGTGGTTCTCACAGTTTTCTTAGTTTTACTGTTGGTATCATTAACTTTCTTTGGAGCCATGGTTACAATATTGTATGCAAAAAAAATGCAAAAAGAAAAGCACAGTGACAAATGTTAAACAGACTAATATAAGCACTATACGTTGTCTGGGTGAGAGCGGTGTAGACTGAATCATCCCTTTATGTTTGTGGCGAGACACACTGCCTAACTCACTCTTAGCTCATACAGATTTTTTTTTTTTGAGACAGGGTATCGCTATGTAGTTGAGACTGACCTGGAACTCACTATGTAGCCCAGGCTGGTCTCAAACTCACAGCGATCCTCCTGCCTCAGCCTCCTGAGTGCAGGGATTACAGGCGTGCACCACCACACCTGGCTAGCTCATATTTTTTCAAATTGAATTTTCAGTTCAACTCTCCAGAAAAGTTACACCACACCAAGCAGATGTTTTTCAAACTTTGCTGTTCGAATAGTGGAAAGTTTGAGCTTGGAGCTGTTTGACAGCTGAGTTATCACTATACATGCATGGGGAGAGAAGATATAGTATGCTGTTACCTCCTACAAAAACCGCTACAAAATTTCCTATAGTAATCAAACCTTTCAATTCCTGGATAAAAATAGTACAACTGTCATTTTAATCTTTTATACTCTTTTTGTTTTTTTGAGACAGGGTCTTACTAGTTGAGATTGACCTGGAACTCACTTTGTATCCCAGGCTGGTCTCGAACTCACAGCGATCCTCCTGCCTCAGCCTCCCAAGTGCTGGGATTACAGTTGTGCGCCACAATGCCTGGCTTGTCATTTTTTTTTTTGGTACCGGAGATTGAACTTGGGTCCTTGAGCTTGCAAGGCAGGCCACCAAACTGCTGAGCTAAATCCCTGGCCCCTGGCTTGTCATTTTAATCTTTAATAGAGGGCCCTTTCTTAAGAGCTGCCTTGGAAAAGTCAGTGATACATAGAATACATCTATCTATTGTAGTACAATAATTCTTAAAAATTATTTACTGTGGGCTGGGGATTTAGCTTAGTGGCGCCCTCTTCTGCCTTGCAAGCGCAAGGTCCCGAGTTTGATCCCCAGTACCCAACTAAAAAAAAAAATTTTTACTGTACAAAAAAATATATTGGGAAAAAAAGTTAAGTATGTACCCAAACAGAAAACAATATGAAGAAACTTGGTTTATTCTTCCAAGAGTGGGAGGAAAACTGTTGGGAAGCTATAATACATCTTTGTTTTATTTTGTTTTGTTTTACTTTTTTAAAACAGGGTCTCACTACGTACATAGTTTAGGCTGATCTTAGGCTCACAATGTAGCCCAGGCTGGCCTCAAACTGAGGATGATTCTCCTGCTTCAGTCTCCCAAGTGCTGTGATTACAGGCGTGTACCATCATGCCCAGCTTGTAATACATTTTACATCAACTATTAATTTCTTGTCAGAAGAAAACCTCTAAAGAACAATAGTGGACTGGGAGTCAAGATGCCTTGATTTTAATCCTGGCTTTGCTTTGAACCTGCTATAGACACAGGACCCACTCTGAAGTGAGTACACTGAACTGAATGGCCACACCCAAAATTCCAGGCCCGTGACCTCAACTCAACACCTAAATTCAGAAGCAAAAGAATACAGATAAACCCAAAATTTACACACCCTGCAATATAAAAGAAGCTTCAAAACTTAGAAAATAGACTGCATGGAACAATTTACATGGGGCTGAATACAGGTCAAACTAAAACAGTGGAATAATGTATCATGAAGTGAGACTATTCACTTAAAAATAACATAAGCCACTGTCATCTGCCAAAGGCCTCCCTTAAAGTATAACTGACACTTTCCTGTCCCCATGAACAAGTGCTCCAGTGGCCGTGCTATGTGTGTGGGGGGGAGGCGGGTAGGGGGAGATGTCTTTCTTCACTGTTTTTAAAAAGGCTTGAATAAAGTATAACTTCCTCATTTAAAAGCTTTCTGATTTCTGGGAAAGGAATTTCAGCTATTCTCCAAGAGTGACCACCACACATACTTGTTCTGCCTGCAGCCTACAGAAAAAAGCTGAGTGGGCTGGGGATTTAGCTCAGTGGTTCGGTGGCCTGCCTTGCAAGTGCAAGGACCTGAGTTCAATCCCCAGTGCCAAAAAAAAAAAAAAAAGAAAAAAAGAAAAAAAAAGCTGAGTAATCATAAAACCTTCGCAACAGCGAGTGATCACACGGACGTTATGATCTAAATCCAGCCTAGCCTCTCTTGCTTGTTTTAAAGATGAGCTGACAATCTGAAGCAAAAGCTCCTCCAAGAACCTGCAGAGTCAGCCCTATCAGCTCCCAGGTAGGAGCTGCTGCTTGCTGTCCAGCAAGGCAAGGAATGCCCCATCATACCTTCTGTTTCCCAATATCCACCAGTTCCACAGAGCCTCCCAGCTGCTGGATATCTGTGGCAGCAACCTCAATCATCTTTCTGATCTCGCCTCTCTTCTCAGGCCAGGCTGATACACTCTGGATGGCCACCCATTTTGCAAGTTTCTGTTTTGGAACAACAAATAAAATAGGATTCTGAAAAGCTGTTCCTTAAGGGAAGAAAGGCGCTCAATTCTGCCATGTTTCTGGCACATTAGTCTGACTTTCAACCTGTGACGGTTCCATTTGGAGCACGTACTAGCTGTAAAGTTTAAACTCTTCACATTTGCTTTCGATTTAGATTTTAAAACTGTTTGTATTGACCTCGTACCAGAAACTAGAGCAGAATGGAAAAAATGTCAGAGTGTGTGTTTTTAAACCAGAGTGTGTGTTTTTTTTAAGGATGATGTTTTAACCAGTGTGTTTTTTTAAGGATTATGTGAATATAAAATGTACAGAGTTGTATAAGTGAGTTTATATATGAACTAACAAAATTGCAACTGAAAGATATGCAACATACTTAATGTTGTCAAGGTCCAAATTACTTGTTATACTGACAGTAGTCAAATTTTTAGAGTATGATTTTTAGAATAAGGAGTCTAAAATGTGTCTATCAAGAATTGCAGGGCTGGGGATTTAGCTCAGTGTTTCGGCGCCTGCCTTGCAAGCACAAGGACCTGAGTTTGATCCCCAGTACCAAAATAAATAAATAAATAAATGAATGAATAAATGAATTGCAGCATGATTGAGATAATATTAAACATTAATAAGTAACATTACTGAGTCACTTAGAACATGCTAAATATAAACTATTTCTTTAATCTGTAACTGTCTCAATAAATCATAGCTGGAGATTAAATAATAATCTTGGATTAACCTTTTTTATTTCTAGGAAAAGACATTAATATTTTATCAAATGCCAAAAGTATAACTTACACTGTAATAAGAAGGCTAGGTAACATTTCTAATACTTGGTTTAAACAGTGAAATTCATCTTAACTTCTTGAAAGTGGCTATGCATCCTATTGAACTACACCAAATTTCACTGTTCTATGAAAAGGAAATATTCCCTTACCTTAATGTATCGGTCCTGGTTTTCATCAATATATTGAAACAGGGTACTGAGGGCTGACATCTTTAGAGCAGATAGCAGACCTTGAAAATCCCTGCAAGGAAGAGGAATCTGTTTGTCCTGCCTGCAGGTAGGGGCCAAGGGTGACTGGTGAGAGGAACTTGTGCTGATCAGAATAATAAAGCGTGCCTCCACCCTCCCTGTCAGATTGCAACACCAGTCACAGGACTCTCCAGGAAGTGACTGGTTTCAGCGCTAAGAGCTTCTGAAACCAGTTAGTGGCACAGATTGATCTTCACTGCTTTTCTCCAAAGGAACATCTATATATAATTGTGTGTCCAACAGCAGGTAACTGAAGGAAAGGGCTCAGCTGTAGACAATCTGACAAAAATTACAAGTAGCTTCTTCCCAGTAACACTGATTAACAGGTACTTTTGTTTTGTTTTACTTTATAGTCTTCAAAGCACACAGAAAACTTTTTTTTTTTTTTTTTTGTCACCATGGCAGAAAGGCCACAGAGTACAGCCAAGAGGGTCCCCAAAATTTAGATGAATTCAGTTTAAGAGAGATGACCTGAGCCTAGAAATTGCCAGAAGACCACGTACTGTATTTAATCTCCACAGGATCTGAGATGAAGAAACCCCACTGTATAGTAAGCAACTATGGGAAACATACTGTATGTTTCAGAAGAAAGGATACTGAATGCTCTACTCTAAAGAAATGATGAGTGTTTGAGGAGGCATACATTTACCCTGATTTTAGCATTAAATAATGTATATACATTTATTTATCCAATATCACATGAGGGTTGGGGATTTAGCTCAGTGGTTCTGCTGCCTGCTTTGCAAGTACAAGGTCCCAAGTTCAATCCCCAGTACAAAAAAAAAAAGATATCATGATTACATATAATGTTTATGCTTTTAGATATCCATTAAAAACACACATTTAAAATAAAATTTTAAATATATTTACATTGCCGCCAGCCTTCTAGGCACATTTTCTAACTTCCAACTTTTCATGCCTTACACCCCACAACTCCTACTGTCTTACACAAGGCAAAGTAAATCAGGGGACTGTTTTTAAAAGTGAAAATGAGTATGAAATTGAAATGATCCCGACATTGAGACTTTCAAAACTGGTTCTCTCCGTTTCCTTCAAGGGGCAAGACTCAGCCTTAAGCAGAAATGGAAAGAGCTCAGCTGCCTGAGCAACTTCATCCTGAGGTGACTTGAAGTGATGATACCCTACACCACACAGCAATATGGTTCTGAAGTGGGTGCCAAAGGCCTGCACACGGACACTGTAGTTAAAAGACCAAAAGCTTTTTTATTGGTATAGGACTGCAGAAGGGTCTCTAAGCAGAGGGGGTAACTTGATTCATTGTGACATGGAGAGTGGCAGTGGTGCTGCAGACCGAGGAGCAGCACCATGTGATGGAGTCACTGGGTACCTTATCAAATGTGAGTTCTGTATGAGTGGGAGACTGAACTAAGTTCTCAGGGTTCTCATTGCATCCCTCTTCCACTTCTTCAAACACAACCACAGAACATGAAATATTTCCATATCTCCTGGCCTGCCTGACTCATACTGCCTCTCTGCTAAGGAACTCATTTCAAAGAGCTACAAGGAAGATGCAGTCTATGAACACCGTCGAGGCATTTTATGGATATTACTAAGTCAAATTTCACCCACCTGTCACCAGAAATGAACAGAGGGAAGCTGTCTGTTTACACTGGGCAAACCCTATTCATCAGGACCATAGACTACACTGGGGGGTTCTCATTTGGATTCCTGGTCATTCAGTGCCACAAATCCCAAACTCATTGTTATATTTTCATTCATATTAGGATTTTTTTTTTTTTTGGTAACCAAGTCAACCAATGACCTTCTAATCAAAGATGTAAGTTATATCTAAGTTGCACCTTTTAACAAGGAGGTTAAGTAGAGCTGACTGTTCACTTATCCTCAAAGCCACCAGCGCTGTGCTCAAAGCACCTCCTTCTATTAACTGTTTTCGTTGGTCAAAGCCGGTTAGTCCAGGTTCCATTTTCGAACTCCCACTCACAGTGCTGGATGACTCTTGTTTCACCTCCCCCAGAACCAGAGCCATCACCTAAAGCCATTTTTTTTTTTAACCTAAAGCCATTTTTATGTGTTCTGGTAAAGCCTGTTTATTAAAGCAAAGCTCTACGGGTGAATGAAACAAAAGCAAATACTATCTCTTCAAAGAGAAGACAGCCTTGCTCCCCACTCCTGAAATCTGAAGTTTATGGTGAGCAACATAACTTAAAGAGAGGTTGGAGAAATAAAGTGTAGCACCTGGAAGTAGGCAGCAATACACAATGGTTCTTTCAGTTCTGAAGATCTCAGTATTTGTCCCTTGAAAGTTCAAAGTATATATTAAATAACTAAATTATGGCTCCTGTCTGGGTAAAAACCACTAGGAACAGGAATCTCCTATCTGCCCATTCTAAAAATCTTCATCCTAACATACCGTGAAACTACCTCTTGCCACTCCTCCCTGCAAACAAGGACACTACAGGTTATCAGTAATAATTACCTGTCTCCTTACACCAAGTCTCCTCTAGAAAGCAGTTGTGGTAGTGGTGGTTGCTTAGTGACGCCTGGCGGGGGTGGGGTGGGGTGGGGGGTTGTCCAGGGTCTCAAAGATATTAGTGCAGGGGACCAAGTATCGATTCCAATTTACCGAAAATGAAACTGAGGCTGAATGAATGAGCAAGAACATAGGGCAAGCTCTGCACTTTCTCCCTGGCTCCTTCCCTCAAGGAAACTGTGTCCTCAAGTGCTGGAGCCAGCTGTACCTTGCCCTGGGCCCTTTGAATCCAGGGCGTGTGCGGAGAAAGCCGACGACCTCGGCAGGCCTCTCCGCGGGGTGGGAGGGAGGTTTGATCAGCCCTCAGATAGATCCCTGCGACCCCACCAATGCCAGGCACCCTCAGTCCCCAGGGACGGGAAACAGGACAGGAGCAGCGCCCTAGCCCAGGTCCTCTCAGGGTGACTGCGTGAGGCCTCGTGGAGCTCAGAGGGCGCTCTGGAACAGCCTGGCCTCCATTGTTCCCGCCTGACTACGGCCGGGCGCCAGAGCAACCTCGAGAAGCAAAGAGACCGAGCCGGTCCCGCACGCCGCCCGCTGGCCCCGGAAGCCACCCGAAGGGGAAGGCCCGGGA